CATTAAAGAGGAGCTAATAAGCTTGAGTAGGTCTAAGGTCACAAGGTTCATTTGAACTTTTCGTGCGAAGACATAAAAAATAAAAGGATGAACTTGTTCACAAATGAAGAACTGGTCAGATGAATAAAAAATGACTTGATTAATAATGTACCCTTTAACATTCAACTAATTCTGACGAGCACATGCTATTCACATTTTGTTTAAATAACATTATCCCAAACGAGATCCTAAATGATACGCAGTCAGATTCTGACATAAATACCAATTCCTCTTCTGGTTGACAACCGGTTCTACATATTCCTGCCATTGTAGGGACCGAATATTCTGACGCAATGCCTTATTCGTACAATCAATGAGAGCGGAGAGCTCCATATGGTCCCGGCCATGGTGAATGACACCTACTTAATCCGGTTTGCGGTATGTAGAGAAACTGCATCGGAGGAAGACATCCACCACGCTTGGAGTGTCATTCGCGTTTATGCTGAAGAAATCATCAAGGCGGAGGTAAGACAAGCCTCTATTAAATTATCAAAGTTATTGTAATTGCCATTGCAAATGATCAACTAATTGTTGAGGAGTAGGCATCTGAGTACAAGTGAAACTTCTGAATTGATTATTTAATATTAATAAAAGGCAAATAGAAATATGAAGGGATAAAAAAGTATTTTAGTCCGTGTACCTTGAAATAAATCTATCAGCTGTAAATTCACTTGTTACTCATTATATTAGTTATTGTGAGTAGGAGCGACCGAAGTAAAATAAAATTGGAGAATAGATTATTATGGATATTAACTAATCATTTTAACACTTTTTTAACTGAAGGCAAGTCTTCGGCAATGGCGGGCTCATACAAACATGGGCATACGCAAGAAACGAGCATCCAGACAGGCCCATTTGCAAGCTTTGTCAAGCTCAGTCCAAAGTAAGGTAGCTGATGGCTCCAGCTCTGCGAATGCTAGCAGCGGTATCTGTGACCAAGGAGAGGAAGTAGAGTTAGAGGAAGAGGACGTATTCCAGGTTAAACCAACAGATAAAAGTCACGAAGAATCTGGCGAATCAGGCTACAGAGAGATGGGCCTTGAAGATAGCATTTGCGGCTCAGAAAAAATGCCCCTGAGTCCAAGTAAAGCTAGTTCAGAGGAAAAACGACTGAGACGACGTAGCAGTAGCCGACGTGAAAGTAGCAGCGACCGTCTTATCTCGTCCCCCTTGCTCAAACGCAGCTGGCAGCCTCCTCGACAGCCAGGCATCCGCCTATCCATGTCATCTGCAGTCCGCGATGGCATTGGCACAGATGAGACCAGTGAAGACATGCTTGAGGGATCGTTCAGTGAGGAAGAGCTTGAGGATGACGATATTGTACAGCTGGCTCATGCAAGACTGGCCGCGCTGAAAGCAGAGAATGCCGCTGAAGCGTACAATGTGCTGGAGACACAGATGCGTAATATGGGTCTTCTCGACGACGATGTCGTTCAGGCAGAAGCGAACGGAGGTAGCAATGGTGATCGAGAAAGTGCCGGTCATTCAGAGGCATCAATGCCCATGAATAAAGCCTCCAGCGCAACGAAAGCAGCTGCATCCACTGTTGGTGATACCGAGCCCAAAAGACCTGCCGTGAATGCGGCCGGAGCCAGTTTCATCGAGCGCCTCCTGGGACCACAGGCAGCAGGTCAAATAATGAGCCCAATCGCCCGAAGTCTAGCCGGCGTTGGTAGTTTAGAGGAGACAGCAGAAAGTGAGGACGACAGCAACATGCAAAAATGTGAAAAGATGGAAGAGATACGTTCGAATGAAGACGAAACGGCGACTAAAACGGCTCAGTTGGATGAAGGGTCAAAAACGGAATTAAACAAGATATCCGAAGAAGTAAACCAAGAAGAGAAGGCAGAAGAGGAAGACAGACAAAATGAAACTCCTGGAGATACAAAACAGGACCAAAAGAAGGAGCTGTTCGGGGAGGAAGAAAATTGTTTCACACCACCCCTACCTGAGAGGGTAAGATAATATAATATTTGCTTCAATAGTTTTCCTTGACGAGGGAATTAATAGACTAAAAAGTACAAGTCTTTAATAAACAACACGAATTTGAACCATTCTGAAATATCTACACAGATGTTTTATTAATGCGATGCTAAAAAAGAAACCTCTAACCTCTTAAAAACAATAATATATTTCTAAGAGAATTCTCAAAGCTTACAGAAGACAAATTTACGTGTTATAACATTTTTATATTTTAGGTATATAGACAAGGATAATGTTGTTAGGATCAATCGTAGCCAATTGTAGCTTTATAGTCATGGTTTCACCTGCTTTTTTTAGTAACTTTGCCAAAGTGACGGGGAGATCTTGTGGAACATATACAGCCCAGCGTCCTCTGCCATAGTAATCATGATAGCTTCCAGCATATGATCAGTGACCAAATGTATACGTGGTCGCTTCACCAGCATCGTCATTTAAATGGGCCATCTTTAGCACAGAGTTACAACCTATCAAAGTGACAAATAAAGGCAATCGCCTTTGCAACCTCCATGTTTAAGCGTTAAGGTATCTCTTCTCCACCACACTCTATCCTCTGGCGCTGCCTCTCTATCCCTCACATTCGCCTTATTTACCTACTTACAAATATCTATCTTCGTTTACCACAAGGTAAATAGGGGTGGAATGTACCAAATCAAAAGTAGGACCAAGTTGCGTAAATAAGGACAAATTATTTATATATTTTCTTCAAGTGGATTAGCCTTAATTAAATAAAACTAACGCACTACTCATAAGTAACGCGCCTATTTGAAATAAAGTGCTTACTTATGCATACCTGAACGTTTTAGGCCATTATAAATAAAAACACAAAATATTTCAATCCCGGATTTAGTTCTAAACGGCTGAGACCACAGACAGCACAGCAACTTTTATAAATCTTTAGGTGGTAGGGCAATAGCAACTCTGTCGCCTCAGGTACTTTAAGGTGGTTCAAGGATTGATCTTTCAGTTATCCCACAATAATATGAATATTCTCCACTAAGCCATTAAAGTTAACTTAGTCTTGCCTCTTATAAGGCTACCTTATCAGCGATGGACTGCACTGCAACTTCGTATATTCTTCATCAGCCCACCCAGCGGGATTCAAAAGCATTTGTCTGAATCCAAAGGATTCCGATAATCCTAAATAAGCAATTAGTAATTGCCTCGGATTTCAATGCAAGACAATTAAAAATAAATCTTCCGTATATTCGGACAGAGAATTGTAATAAAAATAATTTTTTTCAATTATCAAGCGGGACATACTTAGAGTTTAATTTGTTCAAAGCATTGGGACGTTCAAATACTCCATTTTATTTAATATAGTTTAACTTGATATAAATAATAAATGTTTAAATCCAGCTAAGATGTGAAGTGATCGTTGATATCTTACTTCGGAATTTCAAAGCGCTTTGAGACTAAATAACTCTTAAAGCTTTAAAGGTTGATAAAACACTGTGCTCCTCTGCACATGACCCAATCAGGTCATTCACAAATAAAGGCCGTTGCTCTCGATGCGAGGTTGAATCTAAAATTAATAGAAATCATTTTTATACATCAAGTATGATGAAACTCGTGCAAAACCTAAACATATTTTCCGTTTTTCATGAGCAGTTCATGTATTATGTCTAGTAAGGTATCATCATGAAAAACGAAGAGCTATCATTTTATCCTTGGATGAGCTATGTAGTTACGATAATTTTGCCAAATAGTCAAGGGAAAGCGAATGCATACTCATTACCATGTATGTCTATTGCATTTAGAGATATTTATTATGGAGATATATATTTTGACGTAATACCTTAGAAATGCTCAAATCTAAAGGATTGTGTGCGAGTAATCAAGATTTAAAAAAGTCCACAATTGTCAAGCAAATCTTTAGAAGTTCCTTTAATATATGATGCTTTAAGGCCACGTAGGGAGGGGTGATACTGTCTGATCCACAAGTAGGCTTATTTCCAAATGTGATGTATACTTATGTTTAGTAAAATTACATGAAAATTGGTTCGTCATCTTACATTTAATCGTAGATAATATTTAGTTTTGTAACCTTTCGCCTGAACCCCCCCCTCTATATTGCATTTGCTTTCCGTTTTGATCTAGCAACAACATACTCCACTCGACTACGGCCGAATGCGCTCAGCCACAATCGATTTACCGGAGCAATCCACCTGGCAACCTGACGTCACTCCTCGAGGTAGACTCAACTTGGCAGCAAGTGCATCTACACCACTGGCTCAAAAAAATCTCAGCCCGACCTCGGCCATTGAACCTACTGAAGCTAGTTCGAACAGCGCAACCTGGAGGGACCCTACCAGAATCCCACCACAAGCCGGCAGGTTGCAACAACACTCCATTTCTTTGGACGCAACAGCATCCTCAATAGCCCGAAGACTTAGTTTAAATGTTTCTAGAGGTTCCGAAGCCTGTCAATTGTCGGCTAGTGGGTCTAGCCCAGTAGTTGCCCGCCTAGTGTCTTCTATGGTTGATCGACGAACGCCCATCCCAGCTGGTGCAGTCCGACCGCGTAGTTCCCTCATCCTCACACCCACCGGGCTCTCTGGTTCCGGTGGCACAGATGAGTTGGATGAGACAAATGAGTTTGTTGCAGCCCTCCAGAAGCCACCGAGGCTGAACGAAGAACCGGAAGAAGAGGAACTAGGTGAACTGCAAACGAACCGCAGGAGTCGCAGAGGTCAGGACAGGATGGCTGGCGGCTCATTTCAAGGCACAACGGAACGTCGACGCAGTCGACTTACACCTTTTCGGCCACCATACACTCGACGAGCCACAGAATT